TTCCCACATCTCAAAGTAGAACTAATAGATCTGCCCAAAGCGTGATGGGCAGAGCGGGCCAGACTGTTGGCCTCTGCAGCCGGGCCCACATACACCACTTTTGGGATCATTTATTTGGCATCTTTAGTCAAGTTGGGGCAAGAGTTCAAGGTGATGGCCACAGGGCAGCGGGCTGGAGGAAAGAGAAGGAGCTTGGCTATACTTCTATTCTGAAATTGATGCACTCCTAAATACAGAAATTCTAAAACACACCATACGCTCTAAAGATAGGGAGGAAAATGCCAAAGAAGCCAGTTGCCATCTTCCTCTCACATCCCCCCCAGCCCATATTCGCTTGCCTGGTTCTTTCCTCCCCCCCAACACCAGCATTCTCTAAAGCAGTGGTCTCTAAGTAGGGCGCATACATCCGTCTGCCGGAGTGTGGGAGAAATACCAGAACTTTTTATATTACTTCATCCACTTCCATTTCTTGCCTACCTTACTATATAAATAATACTAGCATTGGAGGTACTAATAGTAATGCAGTAGTACTGCAGGTAAATATTTATTATTTATCACTGGGGCTATGTATTTAATTTTTCTCCAGGCTGAAGATGTTACTGGAAATTTCAATCTGCCCCATGGAGGAAAAGCCCATCCCTGCATGTCCCAGCTTGTGGAAAAATGGATAATACTTGGTAGAACAAGCCACTGACCCAAGGCTTGGGAACAAGAATGTAAGAGATCTTAGGGTGGCAGGAAGTGTTACCCCAATCTTGCAGTTCATGAACCAGAATCATAATTTGGGCTGGATTGTCTTAAAACAGATTCTTTCCCTTCCTGGTTTTTATTCCCCAGAGAATCTCAGCTCCCCAAACCTAGCGGCTGCTCAGTGATTCTGTGAGGCAAAGATGCTAGCATCTTTTATCAGGAGCGTTCAGTGAGCGGTAGCAATTACCACAGAACGAGGCCAGGCCAGAGCCTCCCCAGACAATCAGATGTACAGGAGTCACCTTCACCTTCTAAGCCCCTTCCCCTCCCTTGCAATCCCTTCAGCTTAGGTCCCTGTCCTGGCTGCTTCCATCACACCCAGCTCTTCCCCATCATAGCACCGTGACAATATTTCTCAAATTGCCTTAGTTTCTGTGTATCCTCTTATCAGCTCAAGGGAAGGAGGGATCGTGTCTGTCGTATCCGCCATGGGGTCCCCAGCTCCTGAATATGGCTGAAAGGGAACGGAAAGCCCTTTGGATCCCTGTCACGGCCTCCGCTCTGCAGAGAAGTCGCAGGGTACAGAGGGAATGTGAAACAGAAGTTCCCACCAACATTCTGCTCCACTCGATCCAAATCCATAGCAATCGTCTTTAGCTTTCTGAAAGAAGCCCACAGGCAATGCTTTATTATTCTGTCAGGGCTTCCCTTGTCTGCCCTTTCCGGTCTGGGCCCAGACCTTCCTCCTGATTGTTGGCCTAGCTCCCCCTCAGGAGACATCACTCTTTCTCTGAAGAGGGCAAGCAGAGCTGAGGACCAATGTGGAGAAGTTCTACAGAGGAAGGAGGATTCATGCAACTCTTCTGTCTAGACCCAAAGAATCTCACGAGGATTGTCTCTTCTTCCTACACACAAAGAGAGACTGAGTCTCGGGAAAATGACTTTTTCCTTCTCCCTATGCCCCAGAGATTCCCTTTCCAGAGTCACAAAGCTCACTGAACCACGGAAAGCCAGTTTGGAGGTCAAAGCCTATCCTCCAGGGGGTGCCATCCAGACAGTCTGCTCTTTGGGGGATGGAGACACTGGTTGGGGAGCGGGTGCTGGGGTGGGGCCAGAGGAGATAATAGAAGGCGGAGGATGAAGACATTGGAATGAAAGAAAGAAAAAGAAGCAGGCGGACTAACCATTGGTGCGAAATGCTCAGATTTTCCCTACATGAAGCTGAGGCCAGGCAGCTCACTCACTCAGGAGCCACAGCCTCAGGCCTGCCTCTCCGCTGTTGTCTGACAGAGCCATGAAGGCAGAGGCCTTTAGTCACTGAGACGCAAGCTCGTATCCTCTTTCATGTCTCTCCCACCCCTTCTGGTTTCCCTAACTTTCCTTCCCTTTTTTGCACACACTCTCAGCCTGGCGTCTTGTTGTTACCGGACGCTGTGGAAGCCGAGTGCCTCCCAGCATCCTCGCGTCTAACCAGCTCTCGGCCCCTGAGGCAACGGCTCTTGCTCCAACTAGCCCTGCATGCTCAAGGCACATAAGCTACTATTACATTAATATTAGCACTGCGTTACAATTAGACATTTTATCAGGCCGTGAAAGATAAAACAAACTTTTAAATTATCTCTGCTTCATCACAGTCTACCCAGTCATAAGAACTTAGGCGGGTCATTTAAGCCTTTGGGCCTGGAAGGGGGCATGAGGGAGGAGTAGCACTAAATCCCCCCCTGCCTCCACAGTTGTGTAAATCTCCAATAATAAAACCACGTCAGTGTCATAAATATTATAAACCCCAAGTTCCATTAGGCCCCTTACTAGCTATGGTGTAAAACAATCTGTCAAACCTACACAAAACCCAGCAGAAAATAAAAGGGAAGGGTCATCCTCTAGGAACCTGTCTCCCCAGATGTCACCAGGTTTCCAACTGGCAGAATTCAAGCACCAGGTGAATTTCTTTATTCTTATTCTTAGTCCGCAGGGGCCTCCCACGGGTGACAGAACTATGCAAGGCTGTCAGGCACCTCAGTGTGGTCTTCTGTGAACCGGCTGGCATTTCATAGCATCAGCTCACCGAGGCACCCGGATAGTGATCCTCTTTTCTCGGCCTGCCCCACTAAATAGCTCAGCATCATCTTTGTCTGGGGACTTCTGTGTCACAGCTCTTCTGTGTCTCCTTTTCGATGCCTTTATTCCTCTCACACACGAGGAGGTCACTGTCGGCACTGGGGAGTAAATATTACTCAGGGAAACATTTTTTTCAGACACCCTGCAAACCTAGCTCCAGCAGCAACCCTCTGACAAGTCTTACACTGCAACAGATCAGGATACAGATTTATGATCTAAGGAAGCAGGGGGATGGCAACAGACAACGGCGCCCATGGTAGGGGTCCCGGGGTTCAGACATGGCCAGGGTCCAAAGCAGCAGAGGCACCTGCCATCAGAAAGCGTGGCTTTCAACTATAGGTCTGAAACTAGCACTGGGAAAGAATCAAAGGGCATTAACTACATCGATGCATCCCAGGTTCCAGCTGATTTGGACACCTGGGTTTCACTTTGTGAGAGAGACAGCTCGACACAAGAATCACGAATGGTGTAGGAAGGGAACAAAGGTCCCGCCTAAATTCTGACGGGTGACCCCAAGCTCCTGCGTCTCTCAGCCAACATATAATACGAATAGCCTTTATTTAAGGCCAACACTACTAGAGAAGTGGCAGAATAAAGAAATCTTGCTGACAAGAAGTAAGCAGTGCCCAAAGGGCAGTCATTAGATTCTAGCCAGAAGGCAAAGAGTGAGCCTCGCCAAGGCAGCTAAGCATCCGAACCAGATCTCTCCGACATCAAGAGGTGAAAGGAGGAAATGGCCACCGGCTAGGGGAGCCTTTCCAGAGAAGGTAATACATGGTGCTCCATGGGCACTCGCGTTCCGGCAAATGGCTATCAGACACATGGGCTCTGTTTTAATCTGAGACAGCCCATCTATTGAATACCCGTTACAAGCTTGAGCACGGCACACACATCATACGTATATGTAATCCCAATGATTAATTCCCATAACCTTACGGGCTAAGTGCTAACATCAGTTTCAAAGAAGAAAGAGACTCAGAGAGGCTAAAAAAACACTAGTAACTGTAAGCTAAAAAATGATGGAGCTAGAGTTTGAACTCATGAGAGATAGGAAACTGAATTCTAGAAGGAAAGAGAACACGGAGGGCAGCTCTCTCTGATTGCAAAGAAAGCAAGACACGGGCGATGTACAGAAATAGACAGAAACCTCTCTCTCTCTTTAATCCTGTAGAGTCTGAACTCTAAGTCACAAACTTACAGCATTGGCCAGGGGTCAAAACTTCTCAGACTTGGCAAGAAAAATGATATAGCCTCCAAGAAAGGCTCAGAAATAGCACACTTCAAGAAGTTAAAGGCATCTAAAGGGCAAGATCTTTACTCTGTCTCGTGCTGCTCAGCCGTGCCCTGCCTCACTGACAGAACCAAGTAAGAACCCGTAAGAGGGAGGCTATAACCATGTGCACGTGAGAAAAGAAGGTTCCTTTGGTTCTGTCTCCATTTTGAGGAGGCAAAATTTTGTGTTACCATGGCTTATCAGGCAACTGAACTGAGCCAGGAAGCATGAAGCCAGGTTTCCCCTTCTCTTTTAAGAATAGATTAAGAAGAATGACTCTCAAAGCACACCAGGTAGGGTTGAAAATGTCATCAATAATTCCCCGACATGACACAAAGCGAATAATCCAAAGATATGGTAGGTGCGCCCATATACCCTATGACTTTCCACCCTATTCCTGACTGTCCACGATGGAGAGGAGTCACACTAGGTCAATGGACTCATCCATTGTTCTGGTGCCCCGTGTCCCCAGTCACACTGTACGATCAGTGTGGAGCAGAACCGTATCTTAAATTCTTTTGTAATCAGAGACCGATCCTGAATCAGAGACTTGATTGTTTGCTGATAAAAGCATCTAACACAAGCATCTGTCAAATAGAGACGAACAGTCTCCTTTCTGTACGTTGATACAGAAAAAGGAAGAAAAGCTTAATCTTCAGAGAACACCATCCCTAGGAAAGAAATGGCTCTCCACGGCCTCACACCCCCCCCCCCCCCCCCCCCCCCCCCCCCGCCACCCCACCCCCCCCCCCCCCCCCCCCCCCCCCCCCCCCCCCGTCGGTGCTTCAGAGACCACGTTTTTCGCAAAAGACAGGTACACCAGGCAGGTCTCTCCCTGCCTCCTCCAGGAGCTAAGGAAGCAACGGTTTGGAACACCGGGCACCTTGCTCCGGGTCCCCGCCCCTGGTCCGGCCTTTACCTTCCACGGGGTTGGTTTTCAGTCTACTGCACAGATTCGTCACCCCTCCGTAGTGGACGTTGATCTGGTCGATTCCATCAGAGGAACGCAGCTCCATGAGCTTCCTCAGTTCCATTACTGTGCAGCCAAAGTCCCCTTCGTGGCTCTCAACCATCGAGTTGGCCGGCAAGGCATGTTCTGTTGGGTTCGTCATTTTGCCTGCTGTTACCAAGCCCCTCGACCAGAGAAAACGAGGAGTTTCCCTTCAATTGCTCGGGAACTTCTGCCTTTCTGCCTCACTTCTTCTTACTTCTTGCTTCTTGGGGAGCCCAGTGAGGAAATAGATGGGACTAGAGCAGCCTCTGGCCCAGATCCTTTTTGTGTGTGAAGCTTGGCAGCGAGAGGAGGAAGAGGATGGGGGAACCGAGTGGAAGCCGGACCACGTGTCACGATGATTGGTGTCCCCAGGGAGTGACGAAAGTGCTTGTCCAGGGTAGGTAGGTTCCTAGCTTAGACCAACTTGCCCAGATGGAGGTATAAACAGGATGTGCATGTTACCATGGAGGCCACCTTAGCAACAACCAGCGACGGCAGTGGTAGAGAGGCGGCAGGAGGAGGAGGAAGAGGAGGGCTCCCTGGATACTGCTGACAACTGGATCTCTGGAATAAAGATTCCAAGACAGACAAAAACAATTAGAACGGCCACGAGGATCGGCATCTGCGAGGGCAAGAGGGACTCATTCTAGCACAAGGGTTTAGGTGACAGTTGATGCCTAAGCCCAGCTGGTGGCTGAGGCCCGGGCTGAGCAGACGGACTCAGGAGGGGCCTGCTCTTCCCTGGGAGGCCCCCGCAGCCTGTGAACCCCCTTGTAGAGAAGTAATTTTAGATACACCCCCGTCCTGCCATCACAGCGCTCTCGAGCCGAGGGACACGGATCCGGCCGTTCCAGAAACGAACAGCTCTCATGCTCTCCCTCGTCTGTTAGTTTGAGGGCCCCGCCATGAAATCCTTTGGTCTGACCTTGCCTCGAACGGGGGAGAAGAGGTCAGAAGAGGAGTCCAGACCAGAGTGACCTGGAGGGTGGCCGGCCAGTCTGCCGCCCACACACCCTGTACCCAGCATACACAGGTACAAACCAGGAGGAATAACCTCATAGACAATGCCTGTGTCTTCTGGGGCCCCTCAGAATACTTAGCCTCTGGCCGGCCAGAAATCCCATGGCCTGCCGCTGCCCTCAACGGGTCAGGAACTGGGTTTGAGTCTTGGAGTGAAGCCCCACCCCTCCAAAAAGCTTCCCTTCAGTTCGAAAGGGGAGAGTAAAATGAACCGGCAGTCGGCCATACGGGGTGGGGACATAAAGGGGACAGAAGGACCTCCGAGGAGAAGGAAGAGAGTTTAAGGGTAAATCTGAGAGTTAAAGTTACTGCGCTGGCAGGGATAAGACAGCAACAGTTCAGATAAAGCCCAAGGCCACAGCAAGGTCATCCCGAGAGCAGTGTGAGCCTGCAAGTGAGCGAGCACTAGATGGTCTCAGACCAGCATTTCTCTCCTCGGAGAGCCAGGGGCTCCCCCTCTGACTCTGGGGAGGGGCCGAGAGCTACGAGCAAGTGAGGCTATAAAGGGCTGATGGTGGCAAGGCTCATGCCCGCACTGTTCTTACTTCAGAGAGCAGCTCCTGCCTGTCACATGGGACCCACTGTCACACATCAGCCACTTGTTTATTTGAGAGAGAGAGAGAGAGCAGGGGAGAGGCAGAGGGAGAGAGAATCTTTAGCAGACCCTGTACTCAGCACGGAGCCTGATATGGGGCTTGATCCCAGGACCCTGAGACCATGACCTGAGCCACAACCCGAGTCAGACGTCTAATTGATTGAGCCACCCAGGCGCCCCCACATCATTTAAATGTGAAGAGGCTCAAAAAATATGAAGGGGTATTTTTTCCCCTTTTTAAAAAAAGATTTTATCCATTTATTTGTCAGAGAGAGAGCAAGGGTATAAGCAGGGGAGCGGCAGGCAGAGGGAGAGACATTCCTCGCCGAACAGGGAGCCTGATGTAGGACCCGATCCCAGGACACAGGGATTATGACCTGAGCTGAAGGCAGATGCATACCCGACTGGGCCACCCAGGCATCCCAAAGGGGCTCTTTCTAAATGTAGCACCAGAACCCATTGACTTGAGTTCAGTTACCAGGGGGTGCCAAGGAGCTCTGGACAGCCCCCCTCTAACACACAGATGACATCCTCCCTGCCAGAAGGTGAATGGAGAAGCACAAGAACCATGAGATAAAGGCTTGCCGCTTTTACCAGTTACTTTTCCAAAAATCACATGTGGCCAAAGCTGCGACTGATTTCCATGAATCCTGTTCCCAGCAGGATCCAGGGGATGGAGTTGGCTACACTCCTGCTTCCCCCCTTAGTGTACCCTTTGCTTCTTCCTTTTCCCAGAGATTTTTAGAGCGACTCTGGCTGACAGAGGGCTAAGCAGGCAGGGTTTTGTTCTGTTGTTGCTATTGTTTTCCAAATATCATACTGCCTTTCTTTTTCTTCTTTCTGCCTTTCTTTTTAGATGTCCAGCAGCCTGGGGAGCAGAGGTCCGGGAGGAACGTGAGGCAGTGCGTCAGATTCCCATCATCCCGCTGGCCCAAGGATTCCAGGGGTACCACAGAATATCCCTCCAGTTCGGCCTCCCGCCTAAGCCTGGAAGCAGTGGGAAGGGCTCTAGCCGTAAAAAACCCATCTTGACCCTTAAGTAGAGCTCCTTAACCTTTCAAGAGGATGTTGAGAACCGAGCTGATGGAGTGCTAAACCGGAAATCAGATTTTACTTTTTTTCTATTTATTTGTTTTCTATGTTCCTTGAGAGCAAAGGTGTGCACTGGTCTCACCCAGGGCTTTATCCCCAGTGCCTGAAGACAGCCCATACACAGTAGGCATCCAGTGAATCTGACGTTGTTAAATAATTGGTAGCAGATTCTAAACCAGATTTACCATCTTCCCAGGCATCCTCTGGGCAAGTCTCTTGTCCTTCTTAAGGCTCGGTTCCTCCCGCCTTTACCTGGGGGGGAAGAAAAATGAGCCCTACCTCTTCATGCCATCCTGAGAAAGCGATCAAGGACAGCAATGAGAGCTAGAACTAGTGCCTGGAAGGCTTAGATGAAAGATGCCCAGCATCTGGCGTGTCTGCTCTCAAGTGCTGGGAGAAGGCTTACTTTGATCCTAATGAACTTCTGGGATCTAGCCCTTTAAGCAGAAGGCCAATAAGCTCCTTGTGCCCCTCCATCTTTCCTTGCCGGAGGGAACTCCCAACCCTCAAAAAGAATGGAAAATTCCAAGCAGCTTCATCAGCAATAACCATTAGCTAGGGTATAACCACTGGCAATACCACTAGGCCAGGCAGCCTTAGATTTCTAGAAAGGGCCAAGTCTGAGTCAGAATTCCTTACTTTGACCCTCTCCTCAAGATATCAAAGAGGAGACATTTTTTACTCACTTGGGCAACCAGTGAGAAGAGGACACTTCAGACGCGAACGTATGAGGCGTGTGGTTTGTGGGAACGAGGTTTGTTGCTTCAGGTTAGCTCTAGAAACGCGCGCAGGGGAGGGCAAGCACTAGAGTCAAGGCGGGCGGTGTCAGCTGGGGCCCTGGTTTAAAATGGGATCTCTAGGAAAGTTCTTCTGGAATTTGGGGGCGTTGTGGGGACCCATGCTTCTCCCTGAACTCTTAGAATGTGAGTTCTCTGCAACTGCCGAGCCTGCCTGGCCCCTGTCCTTATTAGGCAACTGGCAAAGAATCATCTGTAAGCGCTCACACCGCCTCGGCCTCGGCCTCAGACTCAACGTTCAGACGCCTGGGAGGTACCACCTCTCATCAGGTCAGGATTAGTCATTTAGCTTGGGGCATTCTGGGTAAGGTATATTCTCACTCCTGGTTTCTAGCATTGTGCCTGCTTAAAGGATGACAGCATGGTAGAGCAAACCCTCTCCCATCACCTCCTTCAGGGGCAAGTAATCGTATTACTTTACATGATCGCTGAATCATCTCAATGTTTGTCTTCCTAAAGTCCTGTAACATCTGTTCTACAATTGGGATGACCTGTGAAAGTGCGGTCATGTATCAGTTCTAGGGAGGACAGCTAGGAGCGCCCCCCACCCCGCCACTCCCTTACAGATGAGGACACTGAGGTCCAAGGAAATAAATAAGTGATTCAGTCTTTGGCATCCTCGTCTGCCTGGCGCTCTTTTTGTGACACCTTACTCCTTCCCTCCTCACTTTCAGACAAACATCTAAGAGGTCCTTTAAAATGCAGCATCTCTGGAGTACAGAAAACATCCATTTCCACTTAGAGGAAATGCGGCCTCTTCCTCCTCTTTCTTGTTCAGAATCAACTACATTTACCGTTACAGGGGCTGACACAGACCCTCTCCCGCTCCCATACGCACCTGAGAAGCAAACCGCCCCCCACTTCCTGGAAAGTGATAAGCCTCAGGCCTCCTGGGCTTGCTCCAGAGCTCCAAACCGGAGCTGCCGGAGACAAGAACCGCACGCCCTGAGCCACCAAACCATAAACAATAGTCAGACACTCTTGTTTCCTCCAATTTTGTCCAAGGAATCCCTTATTCTTGGAAGCTTTCCCAGTGCTAAGGAAGAGGTACAGCCCCAGATTAGGAGGAGAAAGGGTAGCTCCGTGTAGGGGATAGAGTGGGGTCTTTTGAGGATCCAAAAGGAAGCCACCCCCCCCCAATCTCCTCTGCCAAAGGCTCCTATTGAATCTGGCCCGATGCATGGGAAACGAAGTATGAATGGAAACGGGAGAAAGGAAACAGGAGGGGCCAGGAGCTGGGGAATCAGACTGGCTCGGCTCTGCAGCTGGACCTGCCTGGAATAGTTAAGGGCCGCCCTCAACTCTGGCCTCCAGGCTGCACTGCCCTGTGGGGACTGGAGCGGGGAAGGAGGGAAGACTTCGAAGTGGGCTGGGGTGGGGCGGGGTGGGGGGGAATGGGGTGGGGAGGCCAGTCCCACCTTAGATAGCACCAAACTGAAATATGAAACCTGTGCCAGCACCCCCCATCCCATACCCTGTTCCCCTCGTTCTGATCCGGAGGCTCCCTTTCCCAAGTGAGGCTCTGTTTTCCTCCCTATTTGCAGGAACAGGGAGGCAATGGAGTCAGGGGTTGGACAGGAGGGAAATAACAGTACTTGAGCGCCTACAACGAGCCAGGCACCACAGCAGGCACCTTGTGTGGGAATGAGAGAGGTCAGAGGCGCGGGCGTGTGCGTGTGTGTTATATGGGGCCTGGCAGAGCGGCAGACACGGAGTGGCTGGTCCGTGCACAGCAGCTCTTATCATCACTGCGCATACTGTTTCTCGAATCCTCACCTGCAGCCCTGCAGGGAGGGCGCTGCTGTGTCCAGTCCTGTCGTGGCAGGGAAACAGAGCCTCAGAGAGCCAGAATTTGTGCCCCAGGCTGAATCCAAGACACCCTGCCTCAAGGACAAGGACCATCCTGTGATACAAAAGAAAAAAAAAGCATGGCTTTACCTCCGAAAGCCTGCTGAGAAGGTCCACATAAAGCTTTCTGTGCCTTGGGGCACCTGGGTGGCTCAGTGGGTTAAAGCCTCTGCCTTCGGCTCAGGTCATGATCCCAGGATTCTGGGATCGAG